CACTCCCATACGAACAGATAGACTATGGTCTAGATGGAGAGGAGGACAGCCAAGTAGCACAGGGAGGTGACTATGCGGCTGTTGTGGCCCATGGGGGAGGCAGTGGTAGAGGCGCTGATGTAGAGGAAGCCCCAGTAGAGGAGGACGTGGACAGGCCGTTCAGGGGAATGGGGATGAAGGGTGCTCTCATTGGGGAGCAAGGGGTAAAGGATCCCCGCAGGGCGGTCGTGGTTCTGCCTCCTTTGGAGGAGGAAAGGACAATTACGCCCTTCCAAACGACAGTGGTAGAGGCAGGGGTTCGCGTGGAGACCCATGCCATGCCGGTAGAGCAGAAGGGGAGCCATGGAAGGCCCTTAACATGACACAGAGGTTGTGCAAGAAAGAATGGAGAAGAGGCTTTCTTAAGTAAAGGGACGGCAACCACATCATTCCGTTCTGTCCAGAGATCCGGAACCCAAAAGGGAATGGACGGTACGAGTTGCAGCTACTCCTACTGGGACCTCAGACGCGGATGGACAGGTAGAAGCGCGCGCTGAGCAGGTAACCTCATGTTTGAAGGTCCCTATGACAAAGGCTGATATAAGCCCCCAGCTAGATAGTTGTTCAGAGACTGCTTGTACCAGGGTCTCTCTAGGTGGTTGCCTTGCAGGTGCAGGCGATGAACTGATCACTCGTCACAAGGCCTGGGCTGAAATAAAGAAAAGTTCAAATGGGCAGCTTATTATAGGAGAGGTAGAGATTCGCAGAACATGAACAAACGCGTAATTGATAATGGATCGACCTAGTTACATTAGTGAAAAAAGGATTGAAGAGGTTGCATCTCGGCATGAAGGTCTAGAAGTTGAGCGAGCCGGTTGTGTGTAAACTGGCAGATGATCGTGAAATGTGAGTAAAGGAGTACGTCGAAGGGATCAAGGCATACTTCCGGTTGGAGGGGGGGAAGAAAGTTGACAGAGTGTTGCACTCCCTGACCCTTCTAGTGGAAGACAACCTACCCTTTTGACTTAATTTTAGGGAGAGATTGAGGAAACGCCGCGTATGCCGACGTGAAGCTGGGCGAGCAAAAGTGCTGGCTGCCAGGTCCCAAAGGGGGGAAGAAGAAAATGCGGTTGTTACACGAATCTGGAATAGAGTCTAGTCTGTCTCTCTGTTGCACGAGTGCCCCTGCGCTTGGCAGGTACGTCCTCAAGGAGTATACAGTTGACCAAGTCTTCATTGCCTACGTCAATTTGGTAAGTGAAGAAGAGCAAATGGAAGAGGTTATACCGCCCCAGTAGCGAATCTGTTGACAGAGTTCGCAGACGTGGGAGAGAGCCCTGCAGGTGTAGAGGAAAAAGAGATAATGCATCGGATCGAGATCAACCCGGTAGTAAAACTCCGAAGGGCCTCGTGTATAGAATGTCTCCCAAAGAGTTGGACAAACTGCGCAAACAGCTCAATGAGTTGTTGGAGAAGGGGTGGATTAAGCCTACCTCATCGCCCTATGGCGCACCGGTTTTATTCGTGCAAAAGAAAGGAGGTGAACTGCGTACGTGCATAGGGGGCTCAATGCAATCACTGTCAAGACCGCAGAACCGTTACCACAAATAAACCATTTGCTGAACAGGGTGCAAGGCTGCAAGTATTTTTCAAAAATAGATTTGAAATCGGCCTACCATAAAATAGAGGTAGAGCCCGAGGATCAGCACAAGACGGCTTTTAGGACCCGTTATAGTCACTATAGTGATGCCGTTTGGGCTGACAAATGCCCCTGCAAAATTTCAGAGATGCATGAACGATCTCCATAGGGAATGCAAAGTGCAGAACAAAGCTCATCAATCACTAACCAACATCAACACCTCCCTCCTGAACCCTGTATAACAGGCGTATTATCCACAAACACAAGGTCAAGAGTGTTCCATGGACAAGATAAGGAGTATTAAGGACCTGTTTCAGAAAAGCATTACAAACCTAGAGCCCAGAAAATTGTCTAATGTGTTCACCCATTAGCACCAGTGTACACCAAAAATAGGGCATAGTGTCATAGACACAATGTGACCAAACAAGGCACCAGAAAAGGACTTACGGCATTAGAAGAGAGCCCCTCATCTTTACATCAGCAGTTGTTCCACCGAAGCTGAAAGCAGGCATTTCAAATCCTGCAGGAAGGTAGTGGCGCAGCATTGAGTCTGCTGGTAATGAGTGTGCACGCATATCCACACTCAAGGCTGTCGGATCAAACTCTGCCTGTCATCCATCACAAGCTCAGCACAAGATTACCAAACTGTCTCAAGCACCACGCAATAGGACAATAACAAACAGACTACCCAAGGTGAAGTATGACGTCATATTCCATGCCCCCAGTTCTCATCACCCTCAGATGCAAACAGATCTCACTTCTTCACAAAGGCACTTCTCTTGGGGAAAAACACAAGTGTCTTACGAAATGAGCCCACAATCTGGCATAACGGGACATAAAGTAGCCAAGTATTGCAATTCAGTCAAAAGTCGCCTGAAATAACATTTTACATCACAACCGTCTTTGGAATCTTTTGCAGAGTGAGCCTGCACACCATGTGTCGTGCATGTCCGCTGCAGCAGAGGCGGCACATACACACAGATGCGCGCACTGTGCACTTGCAACTATGATTTGTACATTCAATCAATGAACAATGGAAAAGAACCAATAACACTTGAGAATACTCCAACACATAGCAAGAGCCATTCTCATACCTGTTCTAGGCACAGATTAACAACTGCCAAGACTAAGCTGGCCCGGACCACGGAGTTATGCCCTTGTTCAAGACAGAGCTGTCAGTGAGAGTGGGGAACAGAGTGGAGGAAGGGGTCAAAGCAAACAATCAGTGTGCAACATGCACGTAATTTGCATGAACATCATGCGGTTACAACACCCCGCCACACAGGAAGGACTCTGCATGGCCATGTCAAATTGCACCATCAAGAATACAATCACAACGCAGCATACTTGCGGCGCACGTCGTGCGCGGCACTTGCGCACGTGCGGCGCAGGCCGCATGCGCGCAAGCGGCGCCCGCACGACGCGCGGCGCATGGTCGAAATCGCAGGGTACCAAAAAAATAAAAAATTGTCGGTTCGGTTTTCGGGGTTCGGCGGGGTCCGAGGAAAATGAAGAAAACGGGCGCGAAAATTTTTTTGGAGGCCGCGCGAAGGCCCATACTTCTTTTTTTTTTTAACAGTCTGAACTTCTGTGAAGACTCTTCGTGATTCGAAGTCTGGGGGGGGGGGAAGTCGGTTCTTTAATTTTGTTGTTGGACTATCCCCCCAGCCGGCCGTTGAGGATTCCCTCCCGCCGTCGTGGAACCCCACCGTCGAGGATTCCCTCCCGCTGTCGACCCTTCGTGGAGCCGCGCCATCGCCTTCTTCGACCAGCAGCAGCACGTGCCCACCCCATCGCCTTCGTCGACCAGCAGCAGCGGCGGCAGGCAACGTGAGCAGGGCTTCGAGCAGCGCGCAGCAGGTTGGTTCTCTCTCTCTCTCTCTCTCTCTCTCTCTCTCTC